TGTCTATATATAATATATATAAATAATTAAAAGGAAAAATAATAATGAAATAAACATTTTTCTTGCTTGCATTTATTTTTTCTAAATCTATTCTAATATTCTTTTAAAATGTATGAAATGATTCTTTTATTGCAATATTCATCTTTAATTAAAAATTAGTATATCATAAATAAGATATGCTGTCATACATTTTTAAAAAAAAAAGTGAATAATGATGATAAATATTTTAATAATTTTTAATAAATTTTTTTTAATTCATTAGTGTTATATAAGTAAATATAATATAATATAAAATAAATATAATATAAAAATATTTTTGAAAAAACATCAACTTTATTTTCTCAATCCGTTTTATAATATAAAAAAAACTTTCTTTAAAAAATTGAATTTGAAAACTCATCTCTAGAAGAAGGCTGAAACTTTAAGCTTTGAAATGAAGCTCTATAAGTTTTTTACATTATAATTAATTATAGTAATATATAGCAATTCAAAGATTGACAATTTTTTGATCAAAATTAGTAGTTTTTTAATTTTGATTATGAATATGTGAAAAGAAAAAAATATTAATTAATATAATCTAATACAAAATTTAATTATAACACAATAATAGTGATATGTTCTCAATGTGCATGTATCTTTAGTAATAATATTATTCAAATGATCAAAAAAAAAATGGAACAATAAAAATGAAAAAATCTTTTTCATTTACTTATTGTTTACTATATTATACTTACTATAAATGTCATAATCGAAAAATTAAAATTATTATAATTTCATTACTAATAATATTATAATGTAGCAATTAATAAATATTATTATAATTATAATAATATTAATTTCTATTACATCTATATCTATCAATTTATTGTGTATTTTATTATGTAATTATGTAATTCAATTTATTACATAAGTAAGAAATTGTACTTAAATAATAAAATTTTAAATAAAATTCAATTTACATAAGTTAATGAATAAATATATTTTAGTTATTTTTAACAAGAAAAATATTTAAGAATATAATATGAATTTTATAATTATTGATGAACAAGAAAAGACATCAATTATAATTAAATGCATGGACATTTATGAAAGTGAATCTTATTTATTTTAGTAATCTTAGTATATTTTATATAACTATTTAACTTTATTTATTATTTATATTGTTCGATAGTAGACGAGATTATAGATTATTGTTTGTTGTTAATTATATTATCATTTATATCATTATTAGAATTAATAAATCATATTGAATATAACGAATCATAATCAATCAAAATTTTTTCAGAATTATATTAAATCTAATTAAAGGTCCTTCCGAGAGTGTATTTTTGATTTGACCTTCAAATTTCAAGGTATTCAAGATCATAATGATGTAAAAATTTGCGGATTTTGTGGAAGATTTTATAAAGTTAGTAGATTTTGAAAGTTAGTATATAGTGTAACCAGTTTTCAGTTACTAGAAGTTATTATAGCGCAACCAGTTTTCAGTTTCAGTTTTGATTGGATCTAATCACAGTATGAAGCATTCATTCGTGTATATAAGTCTGCGTTTGTTGTTCTACGATGCCTTTACTATAAGGTATATTAAAAATCTAGTGTAATTTGTTCATTCATCATATTTACACATAATTTTATACAATATTCTATAAAAAATAAATTATTGGTGATAATTAATCAACTAAATAAAAATAAAAATTTATAAAAGTGTTATTACTAGAGTGTTTATAAAATTATTAAAACAGTATTTTCATAAGAGTAATAATCATTTATTTTTAATTTGAAAAATTTTCATTCAACTGTGCAATTTATAATTTTTATAATTTTGCGAATATGATTATAATACAATTGTTCTTTTTGTTTTTAAAACTAATGATCAGAGTGATTGAAAGTGCAATCTTGTAGAAAAACATTAAAGTGTGTGCAACATACATACAAATATAACATAAACAAATATATATATATATATATAGATAAATAAAATAATATTCAATATATTATTCATCACAGTTTTGGAATCAATTCTTCAAAAATAATGAATGTTCTATTGTAAATTAAGAGTTTTTTATTTTTATTTTGTTTTTATTTTTATTTAAATTTTTATTTTGTTTTTCAAATATTTATGACACACATTGAAATAAAATAATATAGGCAAGAAAAAAATAAAGATAAAAGAATATAGTGAATTCAATTATAAAAATTTAAATAAATTAATTTAAAATTTATAGTGATCACAAGATTTAATTCATCTATCTAAATATGATTAATGTTTGTTTCTGTCTTTTCCTAGTCTTTTTTATTTTTTCTTCAGCAGGTAAATTCTTAATATATTTCATTCCTTCATATTCGAAAATAATGAAAAAGCGAAATTATTATATCAATAAATAATTACTAGTAATCGAAAAATTTTGAAACTATGAAACTTAGAAATATTTGTAGAATACATTTCATACATATACAAAGTTTTATTATATAATTTTCTAAAATGATTGAAATTCATTCTTTATTTAAGAATCATTCAATTTATTTATTAAAAGTATATAGATATAAAATTTTTTATTTTAAAAGTTTTCCAGTCTAATGTAATACACAATTAATAATTTGGAAAATTAATTTTGTTCACAGAAACTGTAAATATGACTGATTTATATTTCACTGAAAATGTTTTTCTGCGTTTGTATAATAGGTAATTACAATTAATATAAAATTAATGAAGTAAAAAATGTTACAGTTATTTGCATATTTAAATTTCATTATGAAGTATATAATTGTCTTCTTTAGGAATGGTTCTTATATTGATAAAAATATAAGGAATGCTAATCAATTGTTACCTTACATACGAAAGGATAATAATTTAATATTTTATTTAACTGGTTATACATATGACATCGATTCTGACAATGTGAAAATGATAACGAATGGTATGGATGGAAAATTGATCAATATATTTCATAATATAATAAATTTCGTTTTACATCTTTTTTTTCATTAAACTAAATACGATATTACATTTAATGACGAAGTTTTTTATGTTTTTCTTAATTAATTTATAAATATTATTGTTATTTGAAAAACAATTAATTCTCAATTTTTTTTTGAATTATTTCAGCATATTTATATAATACACAAGATAATATTTTAGCACTTGATTATCGAGATATTACAAATCAAATTTATCTAATTTCCGTGATAACAATAAATAAACTGAGCACATTTATAGCCAATGCTCTGAATAATTTAGTGAATAATGGCGTGAATCCAGAAAAGATACATTTAATTGGACATTCATTAGGTGCACAACTTGCAGCGAGAATTGGTCGTAAAACGAACTTCAAAATTCCCAGGATAACAGGTTATTTATGAATATTTTATTTTTTCTTGCTAAAAATAAAATTAACCATTAAATAACATAATGCAAAAAGTTAGAGCAAAAAATTTTATTAATTTGATAAATTTTTTAAAGAATGGAAAATATTGAAATTTGATTCTCATAGTAGAAAATGATTTATAACTTTTTATTTATTATAATTATTAAACATCCTAAATATATTGGAATGTTTGAATTTTTTTTTATAGCCTTAGATCCTGCTGGTCCTTTATATTATATTTTCAATTCTCATATAAGTCCTTCCGATGCTAAATTTGTGGATGTTATACACACTGATATGGGTTTCTACGGATTGGCTGTAAAAGTTGGTCATGTAGATTTCTTTCCCAATTATGGTTATAGACCGCAACCAGGTTGTAAAATAATCGGCCCATTACTGTCAACACAGGGTTTGTATGAGGCACATGATTCTTAAATTCTTTATCTTTTCGAATTTCGATTTATCGCTTGGAATTTTTTTGATAAACAATTTCTAATTCTAATTCAACAATTCATAATATAATTTTATTCTTTCACTTCATATGTTATAGATTTTTGTAGTCATAGTAGATCTTTCGAGTATTATGCGGAATCAGTTAAAAACAATAACGCCTTCATCGCTAAGTGTAAAAGAAATTGTAATGGTACTTTATTTATTCCAATGGGATATTCTACCCCTAGCAACACGTTAGTATAATTTTCATTAATTTTTAACAATTTTTAATGATTTATGTTGATTCTTCTGTGCTTTAAGATTTTATATATAAGAATTTTTTTTTCTTACACTTTTCTTTGAATTTGGGAGGGAAAAACGATAAAGGAAAAGGAAAAGGAAAATTTAGATTATCATTATTATATTTTCAGGAGAGGTAACTATAACTTTTTAACAAATGAACGTAGTCCATATGGTCGAGGCTTGAAAGGAGTAATCAATACTTCATAGAATATATTTTTCTGTATTTAAATTGATTATATTTATTATTAATGAATTTGTAAATAAAAATTTTATTTCATTTTTAAATATTTATATTAAGATCTAAATAATTAATAATAAGTTTTATTATAAAATATATGAGTAGTTTTAATATTTAATATTTTAATATTATATATAAATTTATTAATATTTTAATATTATA